TCTCATTGTGAAGTAATTCCACTTGCTCGTTCATCTCAGAAACTCTGGGAAAGCCAAACAACAGACATAGTAAATATCATCGGAAGTTACATTCAAACTTTGCAGCTGCCCTATTTCTGCAGATGAGATAGCTATATGGGTCTTCAAATTTTAGAAGCCTGGTTCCATTTCATTTGCAATGCTACTAATTTTTCTGAATCTTGGTCCCTCCTTGATTACTAATTACCCAGGTAAAGAAAGTTCCAGTCCTTGAAATGTCTGAAATTGCTTTGAGCAGAATTAAATCTTGGTGATTCTACCTTCCCTGTAATCTTGCTAAGTAAGTTCTCACGTGAGTGTGGGGACTACATGCAGGGTCAATTTGGGCATTTTAATGATATAAACCCTTTGTCAAAGGTCATGAGGTCAGTTGCATTCTGAATCAGTCTCTTACACTGCATATGAGTGAGGTAATAAGTAACAAGTGTTTGGACAAGTACTATTTTCCTGTATGTTGTACACACACTTAAAGGTAAGTTCCACACTGCGCAAAGTTGTCGCTTCAACACTAGAGATAGCAGCATGGAGGATATGGGTTAAATAAACGCTTGATGCTAGAAACATGAAAATGCAACTTCACAAATAAAATCACAGTTTGTAACAGTTGATAAGTAATGACAAAGTACCTCTCATTCCAGCCGGCAATTTCTTCAGTCAGCTGTTCCTTGGTAGATGTCAATAGGTGGTTCCGTTCAGTCAGTGACTGGACCTCATGTTGTAAGGCAGATACATTATTGTTGCTGAGCTGTAAGTTATTCTCAAGCTGCGGGAATGAATACAATTTTTGGTTCTATCAGAAGAACATATGAGTTGGGTTTTCAGTCCCTACCTGAGTATATGAGTTGGGTTTTCATTCCCTACCCGAGTATACGAGTTTTCAGTCCCTACCTGAGTATATATGAGTTTTCAGTCCCTACCTGAGTGTATGAGTTTTCAGTCCCTACCTGAGTGTGAGCTTTCAGTCCCTACCTGAGTAAATGAGTTTTCAAGAAATCTTATCAGGAATGTTTTCCCTCCTCTAACAAAACATTCCTTCATTGTCTTCTCTTTATGAGGTTTCTTAAGGCTTGCAAATTTAAAGAAGTAAATTTGGTTTCATTGCCAGAAATAAATACAAACCAAAAGCTACTACTTACATCTTTCACCTGTTGCTGTAAAGCAGCTATCGTCTGATTGGCTGTGCTTACTTGCTCTTCATAAAGATCAACCTGTCAGAAATAAAGCCATTTATTAAAGGGTGAGTTGAATAACAGCTTAATACAAAGGAGGTTTTTCACAAAAAGGGAAAACAGAATGTGGTCAGAATTTTTCAAGAAAATCTTGGTGATGTATAAATCCAATGCACCATTCTATCTTTTTAAAGATGCAAACAAATGTCTTCCATTTTGAAAAAAACAGACAGACGCACCTGAACAATAAACCTCCTCCTACAAAAAAATAGAAAACAAAAAAGACATGGCCATCGCAGGATCCAAATGTACTCATTGGTAAAGTCTCAGGCCAGAACAGAATCCCAACTTTTGCAAGATTTCAGAAGATAAAGTCTGGCCTGGATTCCATTACATCAGGTTTGATGCCCCATGAAACTGGAAGTACAATGTGCCATTGGCTTCCTCCAAAGAAGGAAGATGTTGGAGGAGTCACAAATGTTTCTGTCAAGAACGTCTAAGGAGTCAGAGTAAGGAGAAGTATACAGACCTGTTCTTGAGTGGATTTCAGCTGTGATTCTTGCTGTGCTAACAGTGACTTTGCTGTGCTCAATTCTTGTTGGACTGTATTCATGTTTGCTTTCAGGTCATCACAGGATTGCTGAAATTCAACAAGAGTCCTACATGACTAAAGATGTCTCCTGACACTGACAAGAAATTTGAAAAGGAGAAATGTTGCAAACGACTCTACCTGGCCACTGTACATTTTCTTGTTGACACCTTATTACTTGTACAAATATCAGGACACACAAAGACCTTATGAATGGCATATTACATGGAAAGAAAGTAGAACTCACGATGCAAAATACAGAACTATTTCCTCCTCTAACTACTTTGAATAAATTTGAAACAAATGAGACCACCTTTGAATGGCACATTCCTACAACTGACTTACACTAGTGTGCTTTTGACCTTCATGTAGTACATGTCCCATGCTTTCATTCCTTGGTAAGCCTGTGGCCAAATTTCTTGGCTACAGCTTGAAATAATGCAAGATTCTATGGAAACTGGCTATGGCTACTATCATAGACTCATACAGAACTTGAAGCCACATCCAAGTCAGTTGGACATGGCCTACTGTAAGAACATGTATTTGACTCCAGCAACAAATCCCTCAATGAAACTAGACTTCCACCAGTCCAATGAAATGACTTAAAACATTGTATTTTACTGTGGTTGTCTGGTTTTACATTCAAAACTGAACTTTATTTACTCTGTCAAACTGTTAGATTTTAAAATTCAATTTAAAATGTTTCCAAATGAACCAATGCACCAATCATGTTACAAAACTAAGCATCCCGTTGTACCAAGGTCATCTGTGCTGTAATATGAAAACAATACACAAACAAATCCCATCTATTCATCAATTGCATGGACAGGTCCCTTTGATGTTAGCACACAGATACAATAGCAATGAATGAATCAATAATCAGTAACAGGTGTAGCGACTGCTATAAACTCCAATGTCCATTCGACTTGTGGGATTCCAATTCCACACTTACCGACAAGTTGTCCCTTTCCTGCAGGGTCTTGTCAACATTCTGCTTCAGCTCATAGAACTGTTGATTTTGAGACTTAAACTACACAAAAAGTATATAGAACAAATCAATTCAAAATTTGACAATAATTAGTTGGTTGAAAAATAAACCTGATAATAAACGGACAGGGATGTTGAACTCTGACCTCTAGTACATGAGAGAGGTGACTGTAACGACTGAACCAAGAGGAATACCTGTAATTCACAACTGATTTCCCCACAAGGGGGTTGCCATGGTTACTGTAACGACTGAACCAAGAGGAATACCTGTAATTCACAACTGATTTCCCCACAAGGGGGTTGCCATGGTAAGGCCAATTTTGCAGTGCATTATGTGAAAATGGTCAATAAACAGCATGCATTTGTAGGAGTTGGACTGCTCATTCATTTTTTTTTAAAAATCTGTGATTTACCGGTAGGTTGAAATTTGTGTGTGTGAATGTGAATCATGTCCAGAACAGTGACAAGGCTCCAACTTTATAAATTTGTGTGATATGACACACAAAACATGAACAACAGATAAGTAACTGCAGGGTGATTTCGGAAGACTGCCAACCAGGACATTAACAAGAGGCCTTTGGGGCTAACGTTTTGTGGCTCAGCATACTACCAATTGCTCGTTGTTTTCAACTTCCTAATGAACATGTTGGCAAAGACAATAAATAACTAAGATACTGCCAACACAGGACTCCATAGTTTACTTGACAAAGCACCAATGCTTCTAGACCACACTGTAAGCAATTGCTGCCCCCATGCTATTTTTACCACAAAATGATTTCTTTCTATCACACATGCACTTCACTTTAATTAGCTACATCATATCTGGAGGACCATTTGTGATTCAATACATGGCAGACAAGTCAGAAGACATTAACAAAAACAAATGATGTTATTAGAAAACAAAGCAATGGATATGAAAGTAAAGGACAGATGAATTCCACACCTGGCTTGTAGTCATATCTAAGGTGTCCAAGATGTCTTGTTTCTGTCCATGTAGAGCCTCAATCTCATCCAGCATCGATGCATTAAATGCTGCATTGACACAGGATAGGAATAATGAACAGATGACGTTGGATTCAAAGAGACTGGAGTTATTAAGAAAAAAATCATGTAACTTCCCAGATCTAGATGTACAAACTCACTCCGCGTGGTTCAAAACCTACCCAGTCAGACTGAAGTAGATTTAGTAACAGTATTTGGACTGTTAAGAGAAACTCAGGGTTTCCTCAAAACCATGACTGGAAAGTTTGGAAAGTTTCACCCTCTAATTTCAGCAGGTGGAGAAGTTTACATACCAAATAAAACAGTGCAAAAAGCATGTACTGCAATTTGGAAAAAAAGGTTGTTTCATTACCAACATGCACGTACAATAAAAAATGTCAAACACATGTTAGCTTAAATACAACGCAAGCTA